GGGGAATCCCCAAAATTTTAACAGTTTATGGTTTTTGTTAAATAAAGGAAATGCCACAAAGTTGTCAAAACTCTGCCTCTCAGGGGAGCTTTACTTTTGACACTGCTGTACGTGCTACCCCCATAACACCACAAAATCAGCAAGCTAAAAATTCAGGCAAAGGTACAGTTCCTCTGCACCTGGAGTCTCTTCAGCACCAAGGTTCCACAAGTATAAGTAAATAGGCAAAATGTGGGGGGAAAAAAAAAAAAAGTTGAAGTTATTTGGCTTCCCCAAAAATATTAGTGTGGCTTTTTTTTATTTTCACTTCCCCTGTTCTCACACCTGATTCCGCTTTTCAAAGCAAAGACAGGAAGAAGAATCAAAGATCCTTCAAGCCTGGTATGGAATATCATGGTTTAGGTACTTTAGTTTTCTGGCAGTACCAAATAACTTAGTGATGTGGTTAACGGTGTGCCTACCTTTATCCAGCTACATCAGGTACTTGCTTACCCCAGTGTCATCAGTATAAAACAGCTCAGTTTCTGAAGCACTGTTACATACTTTAAAGTGATAGCCCTCCCCACTGCTGTGCCAGAGAGCACATTAATACCTTCATTCTCCAAAGCCTGGTGGCTTTTGAATCAGCACTGATGGTACCTCAACAGGTCAATAAGGGCACCACAACAGTCTGGAAGGAATGACTGGTCCTGGTAAGAGGAATAATCAGAGGGGAATACGTGCTTTTTCCAGACAATGTCTAGGTGGCAATAGCCTGCTCAGCCCTTGCACTAATTACACCGATACAGAAACATTATAAACTGATACGTACTTACTTTCTCCTCTAATATGGTAGCACCGCTTCTAATTAACCCTCCACTTTCTGCCCCAACAATTTCAGTCTGGGGAAAAAAGCCAAAAAAGCATGTATGCAAGATGTCTCCAGATTCTCAGCACCCACTCAAACTGGCTCTGTGGAGTTGTAAATACTATAAAGAACACTGCAAAGGCAAGGAATGACACTGAAGATTTATTTTTTTTTTTTGCTCTTATAAGTCAAGGTTTCAACAATGGGTTTATTATTGCCAGACAATTCATTTTGAAACACAGTATCTAAAATAAATTATCACAGGTCCTCTTCTCTTATTTTCTCAAACACACAGTTGTCCTCATTTGGCCTAACCAGAAATCTTTTCCTTGATATAAAACCCGAATGAACTACCTGCAGTGAAACAAACAGTTACATGAGTACATGCATTTCAATAATTGTAAGTAGATACGAACATAAGCTAGAAAATCTGACATGATACTGTTCAGGTGCAGTAGCTGATCTCTTTATGAGATATTTCAGAAAAAAAACCCCAAAACTGTTCTCTCTGCTGGAATAGGACACAAGAACAGTTGATTCTGCACTGAAGGCTTATTGCAGTGTACTCAGTGTGGTGCAGATTGAATGGCAGTTCCAAATGTGCTAACATGAATGTTATTTGGCGTTATAGTGGCCACAAGGACATATATGCAGCTACTTTAACTGTCTACTAGGCCTTCTGAATTAGATTGACTACTGTTAATCACACATTCTTAACTTTAACCATAACACCTGCATAAATTATACCTTTCAACTCTACTTTTCCTAAAGGTTACCATGTACTATCTGAAAGGTCCTAACACCACATCACCCAGCAGGTATAAGCAGGCAAACTATAAGCACCCAAGGTATAAGCAAGAAAAGTATACCATTCCATTGCATGTAGCTGCAGTTTTCTGTTGTCCTAGGAAAATTTACGGCACAGATTTTTCTTCTGCTGCTTGCAACATGGTATTTTGATATATATGTGTAAAGTACATATCCTGAAAAACCCTACTAAAAGTGTCTATCACAAAGCTATGGCAACTACGCTGCAGTAACTAACATTAAGGTGTTAGGAAACTGGAAACAAATTTTGCATAGGTTATCTCTGTAGAAGTTATTTCATACCTCTTTTTTCAAGAATTCTAAAACACGTAACAGCAGAATTGCCTAGATGCAGGTACATTCTACAGCACCGCCTCACTACCTGCAAAGTCCACCTATTGCATACTAGTTAAATCATTTTTGTCTCAATTCAAAAGATTGTTCTTGATTTTCCTACTAAGTCTTACGGCTGCACTAGATTGTCTATTCAAACAAGAATTTACAGGCTGTTACACTGATCTGGTAGTATCAGTACGACTCCTACAGGATCACAAAGAAAACCAAAGTTTAGTTTTTCTCCTCATGAGTAAGCAGAAAATATTTGGCATAAGTTTTCAGTCTTTGGGCAGCAGTCAGTTAAACTTTCTGCCAACTTGGAGCAAAGACTTGTAAGACTCTTGGGTATACTAATGGCAAAATTACAAAGACCTAATTCAAACAACACTTTTTCAAATGAGAATGTACAAAGATAAACTTTTAATACATTTTTCAAGCACCTTGCAAAGCGAAATAGAGGAATAGGAAAGGGAAACCTTAAGAACCTTAATATTGCAATCACAGCATTTAGAAGTTAGCTAAGCATGGTTTAAGATTTTATATTAATTCTGTCTAATAACAGCTTGCTGCATGAAGACCTAAACCACTTTAAACTTGCTGTATAAAATGAGGCATAGCTTGCCATACTATCACTGTTAAACACAACAGCATACCATGACTTGCTTTAACAACTCCATTCTAATTATCAGCTGTAATTTTCTTAGTTCATTTTCATAGCAGCAGTCAGACACTGCAGCAGCAAGTCACAGCTGATAAGCTCAGTGGTTTTATGTTGCCCTGTCCAAGGCTGCTCTCCTCACAAAAATTTAGAGGGAGCATTCACAGTCCATCTTGCTCACAATCGAGGAGGTATTTTAAAGCACATTCAAGTTAGAACAATTGCCTCAAGCCCAGAGTGCCACACAACTTGGTCCTTGCAGAAGCTGTACCACAGCGAGGCCACTGAACAGCATCCTTCAGTCTTCATCACAGATGCAAGTCTATTCAGAAAGTGCTGTCTCCCTTATTATCATTTGCAAGTTATTTATGAATGCTGAAGGCCACACCTAACCTAGAATCTTGTCTCCAGCAGTGACAAGTACAGAGCACTTCAAAGAAAGGGGCAAGAAAACCCATCACACAGGTTAACGATTTGCTTATTGAAGAGCAGTTAGTGATTGGTTTTATGCTGTTTCTGAAGATACAGCAACATTACTTTTTTCTGAATTCAGATTAGGTTTTGGTTTCCTCTTTTAGAAATATTTCTCCTTTGGCCAATCACACACTGTAATAGAGGTATTTATTTTAATTCACTTTACATTATTCCCTTTCCATTTACTTATTATCTCATATTCACCAAATGACTTGGGAAAGCAACATCTTTTAGCCGTTTAGCTATGCAGGAACTATTAGCTACAAATACCGATTCCAGCAAATAAGCTTGGAATTCCATCTTTTACATGATAGGAATGTGTACGTATAGATACCTAACATGTCAAATTTTCCAAATGGGTACAACTCCCAACTACATGGCAAAATGAATGCATAAACAATCCCAGTGTGGAATCCAAGTACAAGTCTGTAAACTACACCAGCAGCTGCACGTGGATATACACACTTGATCTCTGTATATATTCTGGCTTTCTGTAAAATTCAAGTGTCTCATTCAGAAACACTTGCAAACAGCAAATAAAATGAAGCAAATGGTCATTAAACCCAAACTAAAATAAAATTTTTATTCAGACATGCTTCTTGCCTCTTCCTCCTAAAATTCAAGTTTAGTTCCTTTTCCTACCTAAAGGAGTTCCCATTAAATTTACTAGGAGTCTCCCTAACCAGAAAAACAGAGATTGGGCTAAACACCACGAGCAAGCAAGACACACTGTATTTACATTTTGGAGACAATTTCTCACTCACTAACCTGCTTTTGTTGGATGCTGGATTTCTGACTATTTTTCATGGATTCAGGCATCTTGGTCTCCTAAACAGATTGAAAAATTTAAACTTACAATAAGCTTAAATGCTCCCCCAAGTACTCTAACAAAAATATGCTGAGCAAATCAGCATTCAGTTAAACCCAGCAGAAGCAGTGTAAGAAATGGAACTGCGATAGTTATCCTTCTCTCAATTCTGTTTTAGTCCAAGTTACCTGAGTACGATGAACAGCTGAATATTTAAGTAATGAATGCTCATCTCATAATTAAAGGTTTACTGTATTTCCATTACAAATAAACTTAGAAGAAAGAGATCAAAATCTTTTCCAAAATTAAAATTGGTATTTTCTCCTGAATCACTTATAGTTTAAAGCTGTGAAATAACATGTTGTTCATTGCCTCATTGCTCATGGTAATCAACATGGGTCTAGAAGATCACATATGTCCTTTCCCTTTTTTCTCTTCAGAAGTTTTCAGTTAGCAGACATTCAAAGTCTTTAATAATCCTTTGTTTAACCTCATGATATCTAATGTTGGAAATTATTTTTAAAAATAACAAGTATCTAAACATATTTTCATCCTTAAAGGCCTACACAAAAGACAGCAGAATTATTTTAGCTACAAATCAAATGTTTATTTTATTAACACTTCTATTTAAAACCAAAAAGTTTCTCAGTGTGAATGTCACAGATCTCAAATTGGTCTAACATCACAGCAGATGGAGCAAGCAAGTGAAGTGGGGAAAAAGTGAAAACCATAAACAAATACAACAGGGTAGTGTAGAACATACAAAAAGTATGCCATAGATATCCTTTATCATATGCAGCAAAAATTAAAGTCAAGGAGAGATAAAGTAAAGCAGATTATTAAAACTGATGATACACCATCTTTAACATTATTCAGAATATTATTTCAGTAAAATTGAGCAAAGATGTACTTTTTAGTCAATTAATTCTGTGCTGAAGTGTTAGAATACTCAAGATCCTTTTCCTCAATGGGACTTCTCTCAGCACATTTGAAAAAAAAATGATAGAGTAGCAAGCTTATTTATTTTAAATACAAATTCCAATACCAATATACACACATGCTTACCATTTCTTGGCCTTCTTTGGCTGTCTTCATCATCTGTTCTGATATCATTTTCTTCAAGCAGTTACTGAGCAAAAAGGCCTGAAGAGGATAAACCAGAGAACATTCTGATTTCTTCTATTAAAAGATGTACTTGATTCTTCCATTCCTCCTCCATCAGAAAATTACGGTCTCTAACTACTGAACTATTACTTCCCTGATGCAGTTAGTTTTACTCTGTGCTGAACATCCTTACAGCGCACCAAACTAGCTGCAGCTGCTTAAAGCCCAGCCTCAGCATGACTAACCTTCATGGCACTGCTCAGAGTGGAGAATAAGAATTTTTACAGCTGGTTTTGTAAGGCAAATTATTCTCTGCAGTTGACTGTGGCTTCTACATTAAAGGCTGCCAAATTACACCAAAGGCTAAGGTTAATCAAATGTGGCACTATCAGCATCAAAACCACTCCAATAAATGAAGCAAGCTGGAGTTCACAGGCACTCAGCACTGCCAAAAATCATAGCCCTGATGGTTACATGAGATGGCTGCAACTGTTTGTAGACCAGCTCAGAGTCACACCTTGCACAGCTAATACAAACAGAGCAGTACGCATTTATCCCACCTCTTAGGTGTCTAGCAGAGGCACCTCAGAGAGGAGTGGAGTTGTTCTTAGTTCCTTATGCTGTCTGATGAGCATGTACAACTCTTTGGGATGATGGAGCCCACATTAAAGTCCGAACTGCACCCTGGAGATGCACCTCACTGCTTACTCTCCAAAAGGAAGCATCTCAGGTAAGGCATCAAGCACTGAGAGATGAATCAAAGACAAAATATCCTACAAGATCAGTGAGGTAGGGAGGAGCCATCTCTGACTAAGCTCCAAATCATCCAGTCTTTCCATTTCCTGCAGTGGGCTCTTGGATCAAACCCTTGTTTCTTTCACACAGCAACACATTTCTGGCCTTTCACTGTTCGTCACACTTCTGAGGAAAGTGGGACACAGGTTTTCTAATTAACAAGTCACTACATGAAGCACAAGCCTAATAGATTTCACAGGAGAATTAATACTGAGGTAATTCTAGTTTGGGTTTTTTTTGTTCTCCAACAGCAAAGAAAGTAGAAAGCTTACTGCTTATGGCTCATGTTCTCATAAAACTTAAGCATGGCAGGAAATTAACACTTACCAAATAGCTGTGTGAACTGCATCAGCACCCCAGAATTCACAAGTCATGTGTGAGAAATTAAGCATTTTGATTTTCCTTGAAAAGTCTTGTCTGCTGCTGGGTGGGTCTCATAGGCAAAAGAAGCAGTTTCCTTGAATAACAGGATCTATACTTCTTATAGAAGCTCTGTACCTAAACTGAGGCTAATGCTGTCTTTAACACTGCAGGGTCTAGATTATTTGCTAGGCAGCATAACCACAGATGGACGACTTGAATTCCTGGATACCTTTCTCTTTAAAGAGCTGCCTGAAAATAGTGGGAGGAATGGCACCCTATAAAATCTTTTTTAAGAATTATTTATGTGTAAAAATATATACTTATGATGTCACACTCACACCCTCCATTAACCTGTGTTAATATGGCATATATTTATATTTGAACAATAGGATTTACAGTGGAAAATGGGAGCCCTTGACCTGAGGTGGGTCTGACCAATTAATGGTTTTGGATACTTACTGAGTCCAGTAAATAAATGGCACCTCTCCACACTCCATCCCAGGCTTGCTGCCAAGTGCTAGAGATTTCTCTTCAATGGAATAAAAAAAAATCCTCTTCCCCTTATACTAGAAACTCAAATGCTTCCCCCCCAATAACTCTGTCCCCAGGCTAACCTGCTTGAAAGCATAGCCACTGCTCTCTGGTAGAGATGGACTAACTACTTTTAAGATCCCCTGTAAATGCAAGATGACATTTACTCTGATCCTTTCCTAAAAGGACTGGGAACTAACCTGTTTTGTGTATAAAATTATCCATTGCCATGTGCCTGAATCATTGTACTCAAATCTGAGCTCCAGAGTGTCATCTTCGCCATCCCTTGTAGCCCCCTGAAAAACACAACCAACCCCAAACAGCCAATGAACAAAAGAAACAGCTAAAAACAGCATTAAGGTGTTCAGCCTTAAATCCGAATTAGTCAATTAGGTTCATTTTATACAGTATATAAATAAAACAGCTGAAGATCTGTACCAGAACACTTCTCCTGGGGGAGGGAGCAAGTGGGAGGTAGGAAAGGGGAGTCTTTACCACCATAAAGCTGGCTAAAGCAGTTCTTTTGCTCCCACACAAAACTCTGACAACTCTACCTCCAATAGGAAAGGAAAGGGACAGGTAAAGTATGACATGGAATACCAGGGAAGGGAGAAAACATAGCAGAGTAAGGCTAGATGGTTTACTGCTGTAAAGGCTGCCAAGGGAGTATGTTTCTGGATAGGTTTGGAATGGAATATGGGCAAATGGAAGGGATTTAAAGCAGACATCCTCCTTCTCCCCAGACCTGCCCTTCCCTGAAAACCTTAGTTTTCATGAAGAGAAAGCGAATTTAGATACAAAGTCAGTGAAGTACTTACAAGAAAAGAAACTTGCCAAGTTCTTAACCTGTTGATTTTAAAGCTGACCTCTTTGGTTTGGTTAGTAGGCAGTTTTATGCAGCAGTTAATCTCATTATGGCCGACATAGATGTCAGCTGAGCAGCCTTCTTCTGGATAGTCACAAATGCAAGGATCAAGCCGAACGTATCCATAGAACTGCATTTCTCGAATCAGCTCCAGGAACTGCACCAAAAAGACAGAACTAAAGTGATTCGCTATAAAGGCAAGTGAAATCTACGGATTTGGGAAAAAAAAAAAGTGCTATAAGGCAAATCTTTTAGATTCGTAATACTCTTGTCTCCTGGGAGGACACAGATTCACCACAATAAATCAGTGCTTGATTCAGAGAATAGCACTCACAGTCCAGACTTAGAAACTTGCTTTTTTTTTTTCTCCACTGGATATGATGAGCTGGGTCTTCTGGATGCTTATCAGATATGATGGGAAAAGACAGAACTATCCGGTAAGAAATACTGAGAACAGCAGTCCCAGCAGTCTGAATTTTCATGTGATTTCCTAAACTGGACGACAAACCTTTGCATCTGAGTTTAGCAAACAGAGAAAACTAGGATTCACAGTCAAAAACTTGATAGCCCTTGGGATCCAAGTCATTCTGTTGGGATATTTTAAAATGTTAGCAGAGATGGGAACCTCGTTTTCTATCTGGTGGCTCAGTATCTGACTAGGAAATGAGAGACCTGGGTCTCTAGCTCAAACCATTCCACAAAACCATGCTCTATTTTTAAAGTCACAACCTCTAGTATCATTGCTTCAAAAAACACTCCTTTGATCTGTTTATATTGTTTTTTAAATACCATTTTACCTTTGCTTTGTTTGCATTTTTTTGTAGAAATTCAAGTTCCTGCATCTGCCGTTCTGTTGGTTTAACCCAATTCCTCTTAACTTCCTGGACTGCCTTAAAAGAATTTTTAAAGAAGTCAGCAAAAACTGTATTTACTTTCACACACAAAAATTCAGAAACACACAGAGAAAGTTGTTTGTTTTGTTGGTTTTTCTTTCTGTTTTTTTTGTTTGTTTGTTTTTAAACAAGGCTTTTGATTTTGGGACAAGTTCACTCTACACTCTTCTTTCCTCCTGAATGAATAGTTTCCAAAGCTAGTACAACTCACACCTACAGTTCAGAAATCAAATGCTCTCATGTTATAACAGAGTGCCTACATATTAAAGACATACATACACTTGAAAATAGAGTGGATGGATACCTAAATATGTCCTTTTTGTGCAATATTTTTCCCATACATAAAACATGGATGAGTAGAATCTCTAGTACATGAGTTTGGGGGAGGAAAAAAAAGTAAACACACACACAAAAAACCCCATGCCTCAAAACCACATGATCAACAACAGCTATACCCAGCACTTAGAAAAGCACATCAAAGCAGTGCTAAACAGGAACCATTTACAAATATTTCAAGAATTTGTATAAATGATGAAAGTTAACTTTTAAAATTACAAAGACCTTTCAGTTTTACCTGCATATATAGCAAATCCAGTGAAGCTCTACAATCCATCAGCAGTGTATCAAAAGAAGGATCCATATACCTTTTGCAAGCCAAAGGAAAAAGGTAATAAAATATGAAGATATGCTTCTAAATATGACATTTTTATTTTTCAGCTAAATATGATGGGAACACAACCCAGAAAGCTCCCATTACTTACAGATTACAAAAACCAAAACAAACCAAAAAACAGTTGTGCCGCTGAAGTATGTACTGTACTCATTCTTTGTACATTGTAGCAGAATGGAAATAAACTAAAGTCAGGTTATCCAGGCTCCCCACTTTGATTTTGGTGGTACCAAACATAACAGTTACAATTTAGAACTAAAAACTTTCCTCCTCCTTTTCTCAAGCAACTTGGAGTTTGTCTACATAAAAGTAGGTAAGACTCTCAGAGCATCCACTGCCATGCGGCAGTGCTGACATACAAGACCTAGCCTTAAGCTAGCTAGCTGCAGTACCGACTACCGTAGAACTGCTGCAGGATCAGATCAGTACAGCAACAAACCAAGTTAAATATTCAGTTACCCAAGTGCCATGCTGCAACACCTAGCTTGAGCCATTTTATTTAAAGCAGCTCGGGTAAGTCTACATGACACTATGAACAGAGCAGTGCAGGCTCCATGGCTAGGACAGCTGCGTTACTCGCGTTGCCCAGGCGCTATGCTTCCTGCGGCACACAACCAACCCCAGGACTGCCATTTCCTACCTCTGTGCTTTGAAGCAGTGCTACATGGAGAAGTATCTACTCAGTCAGTCATTTTGTCATGGCTTAGAACCACGCAGTTCTAGGCTGCTAGGTTCTGCAGTTTATAAGGGCACATGTAGAAAAACAGAGAAAGCTTTGTAGAGGCCAAGCTCTAGCCCAGTAAATTTAAACCAGACAAGTTACAAGTATCAAACAACAGGTTTCTGTGTACCTTCAAGCCAAGCAACCTTGCTTGCTGCCACCAAAAGGCATGGTCTGTCCTTCCTCTTCTTCTCTCAACCATGGTCCTTTAGCATTCATCTGGTGCAGCCAATACAACTCACTAAGCATGCAAAAAAACTGTTCTCTCTTTTCTTTTCATTGTAGGGAGAAGTAGACCAGACCACAACCACAGCAGTGAGCCATTAGACTTGGCTCAGCTCTACTGCCTAACTGCACCCTCAGGGCACTGTTTGACAAGTGGGGCTTTGGCATCAGACTCCCTGTCCCTGGGGTTTATCCTCACCCACAAGTCAGCACAACTGTTTACTGCACAGCAAACAAGGCTGAGGCACTGACCCCAGCCAAAGATAGGCCAGCAAAACCAAATTAAAAAAATAAATGGCCAGCAACTTATTTTTAGGCCAGGTTAGCTTGCTGGTCCAGTTCACCACCTCTGCCTACACAGTTCTACCAGCGTGACTGAGGAGGAGCCTGAGGTGCGAGCAAATGAAAAGGGAAGAGCACTCTGCTGCTTAAGCCAGGCCACTTATCAAAAGAAATGCTCAAGCTATGGCCTCAGGTATTTTATGTATTCATATACAGACATGAACACTTTCAACTAAAGTAATCCATTTCTGCCCAGAGTTGCAGCTTGCAACTCAGAACTCAAAGTTCTCTTCTATATTGTTTACAGGTATATTCCCATTTGTGGTCACTACATTATGCAGGTATAAAAATTAGGAGGCAAGCAGCCACAAAGCACCTCTCTACAGATTCTGAAAGAGAGAGGGAATAAATAGCTAGCTGCAATAAAGGACACCAGGAACACTACAGTGATAAAATTTAAAACATGCAGGGCCACAGAAACCAGTAAATTCCAATAACAAACTGGCCTCAGAGAAAAACAGTCAAGCTGCTGAGGCTTGACAACTTTGTAACTAAATCATTGAAGGGATTTCTTTCTCTGCTCATAGTAGTTGTCATGCATCTTGGTAGTTTCTCTTAAGCTTCTTGCTCACCACTTTCTGATCCCAAGCTTACAGTGCAACTCTTTCATGCTCTGCAGACTCACATAAGGAAGTTCAAATTCTGCCACTTTTTTCACCACTGTGGAAAGAAGAAAAACCACAGAAACATTTCGTGAAATCTAGTGAAATAGCCCAGCTATTTCATATTTCAGTTAGTGCTGGTTAGCAATGTACTTTTGGAGAAGAAAAAGAATTTAACAAATAAGAAGTCTGGGGTAAAGTAAGGTGACAGGTTTTTTATCTTCCTCACTTCTCCAAGTCTAAACTTACATAGCTCTATTACTTACAGAATATTTCTACTCTCTTAGACTATGCTCTTATAGAATATTCTTCTCTCAAAACACAGCTAAGCAGGATAGATGTTTCTGCATTTAAAGGACTTGTGGATGCACGCTTCCAGGACCAGTGCTTTTCTTGAACAGAACATCAGACAAGAGCAGTATAATATAGAGCAAGAAAAGTGTGTCACTCTTCAGAGGTCACTACTTTCCTGCTCACTTTTTTTAAAAAAAAAAAAGTCTAAAGGCCCAAACCTGTAAACATTTATTTCTAAGCCAATACCACAACTCAGCAGAACACTTAAAAGTGTTATTTTAAGCATGTGAGCGCTTAGACATTTTTTGACAGTGGACTGTGGGTTAAATTTGGACTTGATGTATTTGTGAGGAATACCAGAGATGCACAGGAATAATGAATTGAAAAACTTTTCAATTCTCCTGTGTATCCGATTATACCACAAGACAAAAATAAATCCATCTGCAACTGCACTAGAAGTGTATATAAAATGTATTATATCCAGATACATTTGAGACGTAGTAACAGTCAGGAATTCAGCGTACTCAGAGATACCTTTCACAGCCAGACAGAAGTGGGCAGAGGAATAAAATAAAATAGACACCGACAGTAAAGTTCCTATCCCACTGAGTAAGCCTGAGTTTACTACTGGACCTTCATCATGAAAAGGCTCAGAATAGCATTAAACATCTTTATGCCAATGAGAAGACTGAAAAAAGCTAAATGACTTGTTAAGGCCACATAGAGGCTGCAATGCCTAGCATCACTCCAGCCAACAGCAAAGGCTGTGTTCACTTTCCTGATATGGCCTGAGCCTATCCCAGTCCTAGGCCTGGATCCAGCCTCATCCACACACCTGTCCACATGGGAAACAGGACATCAGCACACCAATGAGGACATAAAAGCCCCTTCACATTTTATGACCATAAAGGGACCCACAACCCTGATTTACAGCTTGCCCAGTACCATCGTGGTTAAATTTAAGTTTCTGTCAGTTACAAAAGGAAACATGTCATGATATAAACGAAAGTAAGCCATAGACATTGTTTATAAACATAACAAAAGAGTTTCCTGTCCCATTGTTAAACTCAGCATGTGATCTGTAAAATTAAGAACTGTTTTATGTAAGTATGGCCATCTGATTCAATGCCTACCCAGAAAATATACCCAATAGCTCCCATGTAGTGAAGTTGCCACATGTCTTGTGAACTGAAAGGTACACGATATTCGTATGTGAAAGTCTCACCCCTGCACCACACTATCTATTACCATACTTTGTTCCCCACTACCACTCCAAGCCATGTGGGGAGAGGGCTTGAGGGGGTTTGTCACAGAATCGATTAGGTTGGAAGAGACCTCTGGGATCACTGAGACCAACCTTTGTCCTAACACCACTGTGTCAACTAAACCATGGCACTAAGTGCCACGTCTGGGTTTATCAGGCAGGACGGCTCTTTCGCACTAAGCAGGCTCATGCAAGCTCTGTTCAGACTCCAGGTTCAGTTACTGCAGCCAACAACAACAACAACAAAATCTAAGGGAGGGCTATGTTAAGCACCTTGTGAAACTTACCAGAGAGTGCTCCATCATCATGATCTTGAAAGAAAAATAAGCTAAAATATTTTATTAATTCTCTTGATAGCCCAATCTTGCACAATGTAACCTTTAAAAACAAAGAAGGTCAGAAGCTTAGCTATTCATTAGCATGAATAAGGAAGAAATGTTCAATACCTTTTAATGTAACTTAATTGTTTTTAAATTTTCCCTTATGTCCCATTTAACTGCCCATTTAAAAGCAAATATAACCATTCCCATATTGCAGTATTTGCATTTGTGAGGAGTTTCATAAGTTTCAAAGGAACATAAAAATGTAACAAAATAGAAGACGCTTACTACTCTGCCATGCATTTAAGTATCTTCTAACACAAGGCATCTGCCATGTTATTCCAGATCTTTACTACCAAGTCCTCAAATTCTGTTGTACAGTGAGCACTGTGTGCTCTGAGCTAACAACATTGCTCATAAGCATCACAAATATGTATTTTTACAGGATTTGTATATTTTTCAGGCTGATAGAGTCCTCTTGTTTTTCTAGGAAATATCTAGAAGTCCTGCTCCTTTACTGAAAGCACCAGTCTTACTTGTAGGGTTCTACAATTCTGTTTGAAGGCTTCTGACAAAAGCAGACCTGAGGTCTGTTGAGCTTTCATGCATATGGAGGAAAAATCCTATCCAGCTTGACATTTGGATTATTTTTAGCTTGCTGTGGCCCCTCTACATCTTCTCTGAAAGAGGGCAGAAATAGCACCAACAGAAAATGCAGCAATTATTTGCAGGACCAGCTAGACAATGGGATAGTGAGGACAGAAAAATCAGGCAGAGGTGAGTACAGAAACCGCTGAATCAGACTGGGGCAATTGTCTTGTTCTGCTTTGTGTCCTGAAAAATCAAAGAGTAAGTTAAAGCAGCTATAACCTAAAAGAGCACAGTGCCATCAGAGCATTCCTAAATTCTGCAGTGACCGTGATCTCCTGAGTTTGCCCAGGAAAGTGGTGTAGCAACTGTAAGAACACTGTCCACTTCTGAGAATACTCCTGTCATAGCTCATCTGGCAGATTGTGCAACCTGATAGAGGAGTCATGCTTTGGTCAGAGAAGCTGGACTGACTTTGTCTGAGCATAAGGTGGAAGTACCAGTTTTCAGTCTTCTTCCAAAGGGTGCCAATCCCAAAAAACTTCTAGCTCTGTGTCACAGTGACAGCATTGTAAATTCACTCATCTCCACAGTTCAGAAGGGTTTTTTCCGGCTGTATCAGCTGGTTTGAAAAACAGACATGGGTTTGTGCATGGAAAAAAAGTAGACAGAAGCTAAATATAGGTTGGGAAGAATTGTTCCGAGTTAAACTTAAAAAACACATTCATGAGGTTTTCCTTATACTTTTTAATATCAGGGCTGTTACCGGAGAGGGCAGCAGAGCATAAAAATCACTTGCCTCACACTCAGTTCAGACACCAGCTATAATGGGAAGAAAGTTTCAGAAGTCCAAACACAAAAGACAAAAAAGTGAATATTAGCAGCACCATCTTTCATTCTGTCTGCCTCTGTGCTAAGAAGTCCCCACAAATTACTTTAAGAAATTAGCCACAGAGCTTCAACGTGTTAATCTCCTTGTAGCATAGTACTAAGCAGACCAGATGGCATTTCCCAGGAGCGTCAAAGACAGATCTCAGATTCAGTAGGATTCTGACTTATTTTATTTCTTGGATCAAAGCACAAGCTAGTATATGCTGCCTGAGCACCAGGATGTTAGAGAGTGACGGCTGCAAAAAACTACCTCCACTGCAAAAGAACAGTGAATGTGGTAGAACATTTACAACGACAGAACCTAAATAATTCCTAGGAGTCCTATCTCATCTTTTAGACGACAAGAGAAGAAATGGTGTCTGCAGCATGTAAAATATAATTGTTTCTTTACAGTGCCACAAAAACATTAAACATCTATAAATTCAATATACAAAGCAACATACAACACCACTGTCTGGCTTGGAAATTTCCTTGACCCACTGCAAAACTACCAAGTTTATCAAGCCCAAATTATTAGTATTTTTTAAAGTATATTAACAAATCCTTTCCTTACTCAAGGTCCCTATGCATGTCTATTATCTAAAAATGTCTCCTTACTTCTTCCACCCTATTAGCACCTAATGCCCTTTCCCCAAATCAAAATTCCTACCTCCCTGCCACCCCCAACACTTTTTACCTTCAGCATCTCCCACCCCACAAGTCTCCTGTTGCAGGGTCTAAGGCCAGCTCTAACGCTTACCTTCCCCTGGAAGAATCAGTCCTGGCATTGTCTCAGGTGGTGCAAACTCCATGGCAGAACAAAGTCAGCAAAGGCTTACCCTGTGTTATCCAACTTGTGGTAACTGTGCACAGATACTGTGTGTTCTGTGGCCAGACTAACACATGTCAGCTTGACCAAGGAGAGTGAATATATGTTCAGCTCACTTGTACCTACGGCCAGCTGAGAAGTACCTCCAAACTCAGATTGCAAAGGCACAACAGAAAGACAGTACATGGTTTTCTGTACGATGAGAGGAAATTTCAGATTCCCATAACAAAGAAGAGTACCCATCTGGCAGGTGTATGCTTTGTTATTGCTGTTAAGATTGGGAAATGGGAGCAATCGAGGAAGAGGCATCAGCCTTGCTCATGCACACACATGTGCAAATACACAAAAAACTTGCAGAATCATTGCAGCTCCTCCTCTCCTGGCATAAGAAGGGAACCCCAGCTGAAAGTTTCAAACACAAGCCAGCCAGTTGTGTAAACAACATTTGGTTGCTACTGGTTTCAAAATGTAACTAGCAATTGCTTACTGTATATATTACAACAGCTGTTACTGTCATCCCGGAGCCACAGTGCTAGAACTGCACCAATGCTGCAAAGGAAGTCCCACAGTTCCACAGCAAACATCAAGGGATACAAAACAAGTAAAAGCAGAAGCACGCAGAAAAACAAGACAGATCAGTTGCACACTGAGTTTTAACAGCAGTGCACCTGCCAAGACATAAGTTAAGGCTAGACCATCATTTCTGACTACAGTGTTCAAGCACTTTCACCCACACAGTGCTAAACCAAAGCAGGGCAGTTAATTAAGAATGTGTCCCCATAAGGAATAGCATATATTTTCTGATTCTATCATACATGAAGGAAACCTGAACTTGACAGCCAAATGCCAGAGAAGCAGAGGGCACCTAACATTAAGAAAAGGTAAATTATGGACAAATTTAAGAACCAAAAAAGCTCATCTGCAAAATCAGCAATGCCCCCTGCCCCCAGTACAATAAACTCCTCAAAAAACACAGAATATATTCTTGTATGTCTTCAAATAGGGACTTTTATCCTTTCCTGACTGAAGTTATCTTCATTTTTGCCCCACCTCTCACAAACAGAAAGTTTCAACACAATTCTAGAAACCCATTACCTCTAATATTCTTTCTGCAGTGTCCGATGTCTGGATATCGAGTTTAATACTGCTGCCATCAGCGAGGTAGACATCCAAAAAGGCTCTCTGGGTTTGGATCTTAAATGTATCCTGTTAGGTAGAAGCAGAACACTGTTTTATTGCCTTCCATATTGCTGGAGCCCTTCTGAGGATGCTGATGCTCCATTTCCCTATTTACTCAAGTAAAATAAACAATTGAGATTACTATTTATTAAACAGTAAGTTACTAAAATTACTGTTAAAGCTTGCAGATGACAAAAAAAACAAAACATGCAGAACAGCAAGTGGGAAGATACTGCAGAATGAGAAGAGAGTCAGTTTGATGTTAAGCTGAGCACAGGTTACCTGGTGTCTCGATGTCTGTAAGAACGACACAGTCGCTGTTCTACAAAGTAGACACTCAAAAAAAGAGGAGGTGGATAAACAGCTGCATGTGAATATTCAAAGCCACAATCTTGCCAAAAGGAAAAAAATACATCCTTATACCTATAAATAGGAAAATCTCCAGTGACAATAATGAGGCTATGGCATCTTAATACAGCAGAGTCACTGCTACTGGAATACTGTGCAGTGCCAGTGCCAAAGGTTCAAAACTGCCACGAACCAAGAGGGGATGTGAAGCAGAAACGCTAAAGCATTTAGGTCATGAGAAAATAGATCTCAAATAAGTGACCTCAGAGAACTGTCTTATGTCTAGCCATAATAAAGGGGTGATTTGCAATCTGGAAAACTAAAGTACAGAAGCCAGATCCATTGGCTGTCAGCTGATGATAGATGCAGTCAGACTAGAAGTAAAGAACACATTTCTAACAGTGAGGTAGCACACAGGAATGGGGTGTTCTCCACTGTTTTTATATCAAGACTTTGTATTTCCCTAAAAGACTTTCCTGAGCTCAAACTCAGAAAGCCCCAAGCCTTGCTATGCACGAGAACTCAGTTACTTGTTTCAAGAGGATGGAGACTAGTTTGAGAACTCCCTTGGGGATGCATCTGGATGAGGTGGCCAAAACTCTTCGCTGCAGCTCCTCTTCCTATGGACTGCCCTGTATCAGAGGACAGCAATGGTCCTTCTGGCATTTTTATTAATTAAGGAGAGGTACTTCCCTTGAGATTCATAGTGGAGGAAAATGCTGTAATTGTACATACTGCATGCAACATTAAGTTTTAATTTCTTGTGTCCACCTTTGCTAGCCTGGTGGAAGATACAGGAGACTCCCTAGAAGCCCTTAGGTTTCAAGTACTCTCAGTATCTTGTTGCAGGGTCTTCATGGTGACTGTATATAGAAGCATCTCCTGACTCCTGCGATGTCAGCAAGTGCCGGGTGGCAGGGCTGACAGTTCTGCTGTGTGCTCCATTACCACTCTTTGGGTACCCTGGAGAACATGCTAGGATGTATGACTCCAATTAACTAACCCAGCTCAGATTGGTAAGTCTTTTGGGTCAGAAAGACCACATTTTCCAGTAAATCTGGCTTAGTTAAGAGTTATTTCAAGGTAAGATCAAATGCAAACAAAAGTGTTTTCTTCCACAACATCTAAAAATTAAGAACATGTTGTCAAAAGTTTGTAGAATCATGTGTGGGGAAAAAAGGTCTTGAGGAAAACCAAACCAAAACAAGCTATTTAAACAGACTTCCCACAGATTTTCCTGACACCCAGTATTTCACCTAGCTGTACGCCTACACATCTGTTTACACATATTAAAGAACAAGAGAACCTCTTCTCAAGGCATTAGCCAATGCCCTGTCTGAAGTCATTCTGGGTATTCACACAGATTTAATCTTTATCCCCAAACTAATTTCCTTCTGACCCAAGAGACAGTTCTAGTTATTCCTCTTAATTAAAATAAGCATTACTTTGCTTCTGTGGAGATACAGAAGCCACTGTCTCTTACACCCAGGATCATCTCCTGTGCTTACCTGAGTACTTTACTACTTTCCTCAAACAGAAAGGAGCAGACGCTTCCTCATAAATGCCTTTGGCACACATATTTTGGTATCAAACATTCCCCATGTGATAAAAATGTATGTGAAACGTGGAACAAACATGAGATGCAAACATCGGAATGAGACAGAGACATGTAACTCATTACTGACTCTCAATGAAGAGCAAGCAGGTCACTACATAGACAGTTTACTACCCAGGACTCAACAGTGCTGGGGGGTAAAGGCGAGTTGCAAAGGCTCCTGCATCGCAATAGGTGCTTCTGAGTGTGGGCTGCTAATGCTGAAGCTCCCATAGGGAAAGGATATGGAGGACTTTATGCACCTACTTCTGCTGGATTCTAACTGCTGCTCCTGCAGCTTTCACAGCCTGGGTGCAGGCCACCTTGTTCACTGTGGCAGCCCAGGGTCAGACACAAAGGTCACTTACTCTTCTGCCACTCAAAGGGAGTCACCCCTTGCAGCATCCAACCGTACTTGTCACTTCACTACTCAGCAGTCATGAGGGGAAGAAGAAAAGCATGATCCAAACTTTCAAGCTACTTCCAAGCAGTTTGAGTTCTCCAAGAACACCATGCAATGTATTAGTAGACAGATTAATCTGAGGATCTACAAGAAAGGATGTATTAGTGAAAAGAAAAATCTTAGTCCCATCTAGAATGGTCGCATTAAGTATCCCTGTTTAATACTTAAACCAGTGGTTTCCACAGTCGTCCTTTAAAAACTGCTTTAATTTATCTTATTTGACTCTACTGAATACAGACACAGCTTTATTTCATGGTCTCGGGGACAAATTCTCCAGCTTTTGATTACTGTTCTCTTAATATGGCTATGACACAGCAAGCCAAAAATAAGAATAATCTTAAACTTTTGGGTTTGGGGATTTCCACACCCACCCCACCCCCACCCCCGCCTTTATCACATCCTTTTACCCCAGAAGGCAGAAGTGTCCATGTCAGAAACTCCACACTTTGTTCAGTGTTATAAATACTTGTGTTTAGCCTCTTATCAGGAAAGTATTGTTGAGACCAAAGGACCAAAGATATTTACTTACATAAAAACAAAAGGAGGAAACAGTGCAGTCTGTAATGCAGAAGAAGACAGTGTTAAGTGAAGAAATAGAAATACAGACATGTCCCTAAAACAACACAGGAAAATCCAGCATAAGTTTAATACAAATATAAAGGGAAGAGCATTTATCAGTGTTACTGATAATCCATTTAGTAAGCGCACATGGCAATCCCAACCACTTCCAAAATGGACAGAAAAATACTTTTGAAAGAAATTTGCAACAGTGAGTCAGAAAAGTTCAGATCTTCTCCCAAGCTGCTATTTTAGTTTTGGAAAAAGCAGTAGAGTCGTTGACTCACCTACACAAAACAGGCACCAACATAAAAAACACCTATATTTTGGCAACAGTATATGTTCAGTAGTACTTTTCATGTTTTCTACACTTTTGCTCCTGAAATTCATGGAACATGCCATGTAACTAGAACTGGGCACTTTTTTGTATCCCTTAATATTGCTTATTTGAATCTTCCCATAATGCTGTCACTATTATCTGTGGTAAAATCTCTGGAAACACCTAGGACTGCTGCTTATTCCCCACTTGCCTGCCCCAGTAGCTTGAAGCACAATTCAGTCATTAGTATAAGAATACAGAATAATACAGAGCTGGTGAGGGATTTTCTTTGGTTTTCATTAAAAGAACAGTTTTGAAAAAAAAAAAATCCAAAACCAAAACCAGTAAAAACCCCAAACAAACAAAAAACCAAAAAGGTATCTTTTTTTCCTGTGTGGAGCTATATAATAGATATCTAGATATTTTTTTTCCCCTCCCAGTTTTCCCTTAGAAAACTTAATTAAGTGATTTTGTTTTAACAGAAGTCAACACAAACCTGAACCTTTGGCAAGCTTTCAATGGATTTGTTGCTCAGCTAAGAAGCATGGGCCATAAAAGGAGAAAGGGTGAGAACGGAGGCCCTTATTATAACCTATTTGAAAAGAACAGCAGCTCAGGGGACTGAACTGCATCTTAACACTGAAACAAAAATAAACCAGACATCCTTGAATTAAAATTCTTCAGAACTTTCTATGCCAGAAACCTATTGTGTGCTGGCCAGGGGGGGAGAAGTCTGAAAGTATGGGAACTTCCCACATGAAATTCAGATTTCTGGCCAGCTGCATTTTTGGAATGGAAGTTCATAAATAAGAAAGCCAACCTGGTTTGATATGAAAGAAATAACACTTAACACAGTGCCGAAATTGTAGATATTCAGCCTGACTTCTGTTTGTGTACATACACATCCAAACACATTTGTGAGTTACTGCGAGTGAGTGCAGAGGACTGTTACAAACGTGCATACCCTCCATTGTGTGCACAAATGGCAAGCGCATTGCAAGCGCAGAGAAGCAGAGGCTGCACGGTCAGAGACAGGGGCTTATCCAAGAAAATGCAGCCCATAACCAGAGCAGCTTTGATTCCTGGCAACACCTGCAGATTTCTGGGTTACATTTTACCTACACTCTCAATAGCATACGCACCACAGCTCTCTTATGGTATTCAATCCTTGGCCTCATGCTTACTCTTCAGAAGGAAAACCACCTTACGTTGGAGTCCTGTGGTGAAGGACCATGTAAGAAGATTGCTTTTTGCCAATTATCAGGCACTGGTTGGCTCTATTTGCTCAAGTACTCAGAAAACTTTTCATCTGTCCTTTCACCAACACCTGAGTCCTTTTGCTCATGCTAAAGGCTGCTGTTTACCAGCAACACAGACTTGAAAAGGTCAGCCTCCTAGATCACTAACTCCAAACCTCTGCTGCTGCAAGGAAATGTCTCAATTTCATTCATAAATGCATGACTGGCTATCCTCACAGCTGCATCCTGAATACACCACATTACTCCATGGGTGTCCAATACAGAGACAGATCATGATCTCAGATTACATTCACAGATATAGATTAGTCTCATTAAAATGAGACTGATAGGGATGCATGCACCTTCTCATACCGTCTTTTTGCTGATGAAAAAAGGAGAAGACACAACACAGCCACAACAGTCTCACCTCGTTAATGACTTCCTGGAAGAACTGTGCCATTTGTCTTTAGGGGCTGGAGGTAGTGGGGCATATACTGAATCTATCTCTCCAGCTTGGTCACTGGCCAAGTTTGCTGAGTTTGGAAGAGTGGAAGGGCAGGAAGGTTACAGGTTAGGTTTGTTCAACTCTGCTACACGATAGTGTTGGTAAATATTTCAGCAATGTTCGTTTTGAGCAAAGCATCCATTGTGCCAAGCTGCTTCCCCATGTGTCAGGAGCCCTGCTGTCCCTGATAACTTCTCCCATGAGATTAGGTTGCTGGGGAAACAGCCAGAGCATGCCTGCTGTAAGGAGCAAACCATAACAACCTATGGAACAGATAAAGGTGGTGCTGGGCAAAAACAGGGGCCTGGAAAGCAGGGTTAACCTGCATGGGCTTGTCCCCACTTGAAAAGTTCGCCCTGTTAGATAAGATCAGGGGGATATAGCTGGTTGGTGTGATGCTGAGTGCAGATACAGATGAGTCATGTTCAACACTGTCAGGCAGCTACAGTAAAGCCACGGTCCTTGCACAGCACTCCCACGCCAGGGAGTGCTGGTCTTGGCACACCCTTCTCAAGCTCATTCAGAAGCAAAACACAGGACAAAGACCAAAATGGTCTTAAATTCAGTTTGATTTTTCCTTTGCATCTTCTGTTTCAGTCACATATACAAATATCTTCAGCTGGAAACTTAAATGCCATTGTTTATAAGACAAGCCAAGAAAATGAAGCAAGCAGTAGCAGACTACCTGAGACAGCTCTAATTCTCTCTCATAATGAAAGACAGAAGTGAAGCTGAAAAAAAGTCAGCAGCAGAATTTTTAGGGAAAAAACCCTAGCCTAGCAATCTCATTCACCTCTGGTTTCCTATCTTCACATTCTATTAAAACTGAAGGTTTCTATTAAAAAAGCTGCCTGGTTTTACCTGCAGACAGATCTGTGCTCAATAAATAAGAGTGATGGCCAAAGAGTGGCTGGCTGCTTCCCATTCATTGCCTTCTGCAGCATGGTCCCTCTGCCACTTCTCCTACATTACCTGGCAGGTTGCTTGTACAGGTGTGCCCTACCTTGTTTCAGGTAGCCAAGACTGACTACTCAAAGCCAGTCTATGTCGTTGACAGAAAAGGAGTGTGCTATTTCGTCATTTTAATGATGTTTTATTCTTGAATCTTTCATTAATCATCCCTCTTGCAATGTAACATAAACAAGAGCAAGTTTGGGGTAATGCCTCGTTTTACGACTAAGTAGCAGTAATACTAAAACCCCAACTATGTCTTCACTCCTAAGCAACATGTAGGATGCTAAGTGCTGCCTACACATCTTCAACATGGAGAAGAAAAGAACAGCACAGAGGTGCTTTAAAGATGAACTTCACTCCATGTCTTTCAATGCTGACAGAAATTTTGTCACTGCCATAAAATACCTCACAAGTCACAGTAAACTAATAAATACTGGAACATGCACAAAGCCAGTTTGTTGAGTGAGATTCTTTAATAGTCAAAATGAATACTTATGCAGCCGTCAGTTACACCAATTAAAGGCACTGTGCACAGTTGATGACAGCAGATGCATTCCTGTCTTTCATAGAGTTATTTGATCTCCCAAGAGTTTGTTCTTTACCATAATGAAAGAACACATAAAGCACTACTGCTATTTGTGTTATGAAGCAGTAATTTATATATGCACAACCATTTCAAGTTTAAATTGTAAATAAAAAAAGCTGGAGAACTACTATCTTTGTCAAGAAGGAAGCCTAAACATCGTGTATGAAAATCCATCGTATTGTGGAACAGAAATTTGGGGTAATTTTATGTCTTGAGAATGTACTGACCTTGCACTAACATTTCAGTTATAATTCAGTGCCTACCTTGAACTCTACAAAATAACTGACTGCTTTTGGCAGCAGTCATCACATGCCTTAATGAGCACACACACATATGTACATAACCCATAAATCAAGTAAGTATTACACATGTACTTATCAAGTCACCCCTCTTCACCAAAAGGGCCTGCAGTAGAGAAAAACCTAAATATACAACACCATTTCTGATGGAGAAATCCACAATACTGGCATGCCAAAAGACATCTTTAAACACTGCAAACATGCATTTTGAAGAGTAATTTCCTGTCAGAACTTTGTCAAAAAAAGTCAGTTGGCAGTGTTTGAGGGCAAACTGCAGGCATTCCTGATGGATTTAACTTTATCAGACCTGTTATCAGTCTCATCAAGACTAATTAAGACCCAGCAGTAATTGCTGGGAGTTATCTGTAGGGCTATAACAGGCATTGGATCAGAACTAGAGAGAGACTGCTTCTCACAAAGAAATCCCTAATCAGAAAAGGGCTTTTCATTCACTGTCTTGAGCACTTCAGTAGGCTGAATTTAAGAGAGAGGAAATAAACTGTATCTTTTTATTTTCAAAGTATATAGGAAAAACCTTGCTAGAATTTGTTAGGAATACTTCTTCACATCATTTTCTATAGTCTTCCTGAACTCCCTTTACATACTTTAATCACACATAGCAAGTGAAGAGCTCTCAAGTCACAAAACTCTTACTTGGTCCTTCAAAACACCCCCTCTCTCCAGAACAACTCATTGCAAATGAGGTTACAGCAGCACCAGCAGCATGTCAAGCACTTCCTAGAAAACTAAAGCAGCATCCCCTCCCTGAAAATGCTGTTGGAGTCATACTGCACCCACCTGCCCCAAAACACTACTATCATCATAAAAACCACAGCAGCTAGAGATGAGGTAAGGGAAGAAAAGGCACATATGGCACCTTGCAGTAGTCAGACACAAGCAAAAGCTATCCAGGCTCCAAGGCTGCGAAAGAAAGATCATACATGTCATGGACCACATTAAAATGGATTTCAAAAGTCATCTAGGTTGCAACAACCTAAATACATGCCAGATTCTGCCCATCACTACAGTTGCAAGATAAGAGAACATGACATTTTCACAGCAGTCATCAATACACTTATCACTTCAAAGCACTGACGCTACCAAAAAGCATTTACAATTGCAAAATCCAAGAATGTATGTAATCCTTCTATTGAGCTCTCACAAAGACTCTTCTGGGAACTGTTTAGAGGCAAGAGATTAATCAGATAGGCCACAGGATAAAAACAAAGCAAATAGTTCTTTCCATGTGAGAAACAAGCTCATACAAGGACAAAACAATAGCAATACTATTATTATTGCCACCCAGGCTTCACAGAGAGCACTCTGTCATCGGAACTTGCTTCTTTACAAGACAGACAAATATGAAGGACACAAGGAAAGGAAGATAGCAGAGGAAGCCTTGAACTGAGGAGGTAAGATAATATTTTGACTCTTTCATGTAACAAACTATTTGGCTGAAAAATTCAAAACTTACCTGCTGTAGCTTTCGGAAAAATCCTATGAAGACATCACTATTGGTAATATTTGAATCCAAAGTAACTGAAAAACAAGAGGAAAACAGGGAGGGAAGAAACCAAACTTAGCCAAAATATGAAAAACATGGCTAGTGTCTAGAAACAAGGTGTCTACAACATGACTGTTGGTTAAACCATCAGCGCTACTTTACTCATCCTTTGGTTTCTGCACAGCTACCTTTACTAGCCTATTGTTAAATCACTGAAGCTATGAACAGTGGAAAATACAGGTAGTGTTCCTATTCCCCCAAAGCAAGACTACAGTAAGGTTCTTGGCCACGTAACTCCATGGTCACTCGTGCCAAGTAACTCTAAAAGGAACTGTCAAATACTCAAGTGAAAAAGATAAAATAATTACCAAGTAGGATTTTAAAGACTAATCATGAGTTTCTGTTTTGGAAGTCTTGGCACAAAGTATCTTAGGCCAGAGGCTACAAAACCTCTTTCAGCTCATCCCCTCACACACCCTTCTTTTTGAGTAGTTGAAATGGTTATATTTTTTTATTTCTCGGCTTACATGAAAAACTCAGGAGACGCATTCTAGGGATCCTACAGACCTACTTTATAACACAACACATTGTGCCTGAGATTTAATTGTTCTACACACTCTCGTTATAATTCTCATAAGTCTGCCTGGAAGCCCTTGAAGGGAAGAGGCTTATGCCGAGTCCCATTCCATATTACACTTCTGGTTGTCCAAGTGCCTGTCTTTTTTGCCTCCTTCTTTTACCCTCCAGCCATGAGTTCTCACACCCAGCCCCATGTCAGCTCTGGCAGCTGTGAAGCACCAAGGGTGGGTGGCTCAGCTCACTGATCCAGAAGAACAGAGAATGGCCAGACTACAGGCTGCTACCAGAAGGCCAAGTTGGCTTAAGTTTAGTGTGAAACTGCACCCTTACATTTTGGGAAAGCTGCAGAAAGGCGGCTGCTTGAGAAATAAGAGAGATATGATATGCTGCTGTTCTAGAGACAGTGAATCAACAGATAGGACAGGGGTGCAACCTTTAGCCTCAACCTTTTAGATACACCCTTACTCAACTCAGTATAGAAGGTAAAGCACCCTGCAGTCATAATTGTAGACATATCCTCTAAGGTGTAAGCCCTACAGACAAAAGCTGATCAGGTTGTTATAGTCAAGCTTACCATTCTGAAGGTACTGCTCCAGCTGAGACCGCCTCTCATCTGCCATCGACTTGGTCATTGCCAGGTAAAACTTTGGAGGGAAAGCAGGCACAGCACTCCCAAAAAGCTGCCTCAGCTGCAAAACAGCCAAAGGAAATCTCTGCATCAGTAAAGAAATATTCATAGTTTCCAAGGAGCTTTCAATGCTCTCTTGTTTTGACAGCAAGGCACGATGACCTACAAAGGGCTCAGAGTACCCACCCAGCACCTCCCCAGTGGCCCTCAAGGCCCACAGCAAGGGCAAAGCCTTTGCCCAGGCAGCCACCAGAAGACAGCCCAAGTGAGCAACCTCTTTTGATGGGTTTCTCATTTTTACAGTCTTACCACTTCTGAGCTCCTGCTCCGAGCCAGAAAAGTAGCATTGTATTAACCTTATCAGCTAGGTCTTACGCACCTCATGGGCAAACAAGATAGGGTTACAGGTGTCTTCTCTTCCCAATACATCCATACAGGATTTCTTTTATCTATACCTACAGAACTACTTGTTAAGAGCTGGTGACTTCTGCTACCTCAGAGGCTTTTATTATTTTATAATTTTTATTATTTTGTCCATGAGAGGTAGTAACTTTTATCAGATCATCTAATATTGTCAAAAGAAAAAAAAAAACAAAACCACAACAAAACCCAGAGAATCTTTCAGGAGCTCAAACTATTTGATTCTTCCTCCAGCTATATCAGCTGGCTTAAGGGCATAATGTCTCTGTACAAACCCTACCTCATTTATCAATAGACCTGAAAGGACTAGAGAACCACAATTACGTTATCTTACAATAACATAAGATAGTTCCAATATAGGTTTGGCCACTAGTTGGTCACTTGGAAGTGTAAAAATTCTCTGCCATAGGCAAATGATCTCAAGAGAAGGATAAGCTATGTTTACCTTCCCGATATGCACATTACTAAACACAGCAAAATACAGCAAGTTTGCCTGGAAACATTCCTTCATCTAAATCAAAATAATATGGCATCTGATCAGTAAAATGAGACTCATAGTATGCTGAGACATTAGTACTAATTAAATTTCAAGCACCAGTATTCAAACTCAGCAATTAGTGTCACTAAATCCTCTTAAAGATGACATTTTCCCTCCAGCCCCAGCTGCCCAAGTCTTTCACATGACTCCACCAGTTGAAGCTTGAAGAAAAAAAAACAAAACGTGTACTATTGCAAGAATTAGCAATATCTTTTCCTGCCTGTTGGCTAAAAACAGGAGTGAGGCATATTCTCACAGCTCCACTTTCCACAATTTAGCAA